ATGAACTTCAGCCAAATGATTAAGATTTCTTATAAAATATACTCCAACAGAGATCAAGTTAAAAAAAAAAAAAAAGATAAAAAAAATAAAGGCACAGGCGTCGTTACAAGCATTGTTGTTGGCAGCGGCAATTATAAATCAGAGGAGTCGGAGACGAGACAAAAAAAAATAAAGGACATAGAGCAGGCGTGGGCTATGCTCCGGGAGGCTACGGCCAGGGTCCCAAGCTGGGACCTAATCAGTGTGCTATTTACAAACAAAAAAGACATTAAAAAAATAAGTGCCCCCCCCGCGGCCAAAGAGACCAAAAAAAAAAAAAAAAAAATTGTTGATGTTAGACGATTCTGACCAAGAGTGACGGGGACCGGGGGCTAACACTAAAATAATTTCTGTCTCCCCCGACGAGCCCCTGGTTAAAATACAAATAAAAAAAAAAAACAAAAAACTTATTGACTTTCTAATAGATAGTAGAGCCACGCATTCAGTTATTACCAATTTTAAAGGACCCTTATCAAAAACCAAGATCCCTATAATTAAAGCCACCGGCCAGCGGACATATCGTCCTTTTGTGCCACCCATGGAATGCAAATTGGGAAAAAAAGAGTGTCTCATCAGTTCCTGTATATGCCTGAGTGCCCCATACCTTTGTTTGGAAAAGATTTGCTATATAAATTACAGGCCCAATTGATCTTTAAAAAAAAAAAAAAAAAAAAAAAAAAAAAAATCCCCCCAAAATAAAAAACGCTATAATACCATGGGTATGGGCGGGAAAAAAGCCAAAAAAAGCCAAACTGGCCACCCCTATAAGCATTGATTTAAAGCCAAAAATTACCCCGCCCAGGGTGCCACAATATCGATTAAAAATAAAAGCTTAAAAAGGCCTAAAACCATTAATAAAAAAATTCCTTAAATATGGTTTACTTCACTTCAAGAGTGTCAATCATCTTTCAATTCCCCCATTTTGCCTATAAAAAAACCCCACAGTAATAAATATCGTTTTGTGCAGGACCTCAGAGCCGTGAACAAGGTCACGGTGACCCTTCATCTGGTGATAAAGGACCCTTATACTTTGCTGACTACTTTGCCTGCAAAAAAACAGTGGTTTACAATCCTGAACCTAAAAGATGCCTTCTTTTGCATCCCACTTAAAAAAAACAGCCAAGAGATTTTTACATTCGAGTAAAAAGACCCAAATACTAAAAAAAAACCCCAATTGTGCTAGACAGTTTTGCCTCAGGGTTTTAAGGACAGTCCCACTATTTTCAGCACTGCCTTAAGCAGTGACCTTCAAAAATGGGACAAAAGGACATCTATGCGACGCTGGTCAGGCCGCAGCTGGAGTATTGTGTCCAGTTCTGTGCACCCCATTTCAGGAGGGATGTGGACAACATGGAGGGGGTCCAGAGGAGGGCCACCCGCATGATCCGGGGACAACAGGGCAGACCCTACAGTGAGAGACTGCGGGACCTGAACCTATTCAGCCTCCACAAGAGAAGGCTGAGGGGGGACCTGGTGACCGTCTATAAACTCACTAGGGGGAACCAGAAGGGTTTGGGGGAGACGCTGTTTCCCCTAGCCCCCGCTGGCATAACAAGGAGTAATGGGCACAAGTTGATGGAGAGGAGGTACAGATTGGACATCCGAAAAAACTACTTCACAGTTAGGGCGGCTAGGAGCTGGAACCAACTTCCAAGGGAGGTGGTGCTGGCCCCTACCCTGGGGATCTTTAAGAAGAGGCTGGATACCTACCTGGCTGGACTCATTTGAGTCCCGTTTTTTGTTTTTAGGGTTCTTTTGTTGTTCTCCCGCCCTGGCGGGGGGTCGGGCTAGAAGATCTATTAGGTCCCTTCCGACCCTAAAACTATGAAACTATGAAAAACCCTGTTACAATGTGTGAACAATTTACAGCACCAATGGAGGTACCTGTGGAAATGGTCCTAGAAAGGGAGAAGATATTAACAGACCTGGTCCCTTTCATTGGGTGCCTACACACCCCCCCCCCTCCCCCCCCCCCCCCGATATTTGGGATTTGACATCTCACAAGGCCAGAGGATGTTGGGCCCTAAAAAAAAGGCCATCTATCGGATGGCAGTCCCAAAGACCAAGAGACAGTTGTGAGGCTTTTTAGATATAACAAAATTCTACCAAATCTGGATCCCCAATTTTAGACTAATAGCCAAGGCTCTTTATAAAGCCACTACTAATAATAAAGGAGATTTACAATAAACGACAAAATGCCAAAAAACCTTTGACACTATCAAACAGGCCCTTATGACAGCGCCAGCCCTGGGCCTACCCGATCTAAATAAACCATTTCAACTTTATGTACATAAACGCCAAGAAATAGCATCAAAAGTGCTAACCCAGTACTTAGATAGCTAAAAAAGAGCAGTGGCCTACTTCTCCAAACAATTAAATCCCACTAGTTTGGGATTTAATTGCCAGCCTGCCTACAAACAGTGACAGCTACCGCTATGCTAATAAAAAAATCTAAAAAACTTACTTTAGGACAACCAATGACTATATATACCCCACATTCAATACTGACGGTAATAAATACAAAGGGGAAAACCTAGCTTTCCCCTAAACAAATGGCTAAATACCAGGCGACTCTCCTAAATCAAAAAACCATCCAGTTACAAACCTCTAATACCCTAAACCCAGCTACGTTAATGCCATTAAAACAGGACAAAAGATTACAACATGATTATATTAAAACTATTAAAAATATATATGCTAGCCGGCCGGATCTTAAAGATGCCCCACTACCTAATACAAACCTTAAATTCTACACAGATAAAAACAGCTTCATAAACAATGAAACCCAAACGGCGGGATATGCTGTGGTTACATCATAAAATACCGTAAAAACAAACGCCTTGCCTCCAAATACCTCTGCGCAGAGAGCTGAGCTTATTGCGCCGACCCGAGCTCTCCATTTAACAAAACAAAAAAAAAAAAAATAGCCACTATATACACGGATTCAAAGTATGCCTTTGGAATCTTACACGCCCACAAAGTTATATGGAAAGAGAGAGGACTCTTAATGACAAATAAAAGCCCAATAAAACATAAAACAAAAATCCTAAAATTACTTAAAGCCGTGATAAAACCACTAAAAATAGCTGTAATACACTATAAGGCCCATCAAAAAGGGAGATGCTGATGTTATTTAAAAAAAAAAAAAAAAAAAAAAAAAAAAAAAACCAGAAAACAAATGCTGCGGCAAAAAAGACAGCTAGAGGACAAGTTCAAAAAAACTCAAATGTTGACATTGATGCCTCAGGTAATGTTACCTGAGAAACCTCCCAAATATACTAAAAAAGAAAACCAACTCACAAAAAAAATTAAAAAACAAAAAACAACAAGATAAATAATAGGTTTTGCCTGAGGGACAAGTCCTGATGCCAAAATTAATTCTTAACAAAGTGCTCCAAAAATACCACCAGAGCACCCATATAAAAACTGACGCCATAACCCAAGGTCTCCAAAGAATTATAGTGGGGCCTAAGATAAAAAAAAACAACAGAACAAATAGTGCATAGATGCCCTGTCTGTTGTGCCAACAATCCTAAGATTTCCCCCAAACCTCCGCCAGGAGCAGGAAGGCAAAAACTATTAACAAAAAAATGTTAACAGATAGATTTCTCTAAAGTTCCCAAAAAGGGACACTACAAATACCTGTTAGTGCTCGTAGACACTCTGACCGGATAAACTGAGGCCTTCCTGTGCCAAATCTTTTTGCTTCCTCCCGATTATTTTGGATCGGGTTTGTAACAGATTGCAGCGAGTGTTGCCAGTGGGGCAAGGGAAGTAAGTGTGGCAAGGGAAGTACAAACAGTGGGGCACGTTCACCGCATGATGTTTGTAACTGATTGCAGCCAGTGTTGCCAGTGGGGCAAGGGAAGTAAGTCTTCCCCTCTATTCAGTACTGGTGAGGCCACATCTGGAGTCCTGTGTCCAGTTTTTGGCCCCCCACTACAGAAAGGATGTGAACAAGTTGGAAAGAGTCCAGCAGAGGACAACAAACGTGTTGAGGGGGCTGGGGCAAATCACTTAGGAGGACAGGCATAAGGAACTGAGGGGATTTAATAGCAACCTTCAACTACCTGAAGGGGGGTTCAAAAGCAGATAGAGCTAGACTGTTCTCAGTGGTGGTAGATGACAGAACAAGCAGCAATAGTCTCTATTTGCAGGAAAGGAAGTTTAAGGTAAACATTAGGAAGAATTTTCATACTCTCACAGTGAGAAAACACTGGAACATGTTACCCAGAGAGGTGGTGAAATCGCCATCCTTGGCTGGGATGATCCTGCTTTGAGCAGGGGGTTGGACTAGATGACTTCCTGACCCCTAATTTTCCCTTCTACCCCTAATTTTCTATGAAGTAGAGCAGGGGGGGCAGCTGGCATCTCTTGGTGCAGAGTCCTGACAAGGGGCTGAGAAGCAAAACCCGCCAAGTTGGGCTCATGGGGTGGCAGTAGCAATTTCGTGCAGACTCCGATGGAAATGTGCAGGCCTTGGGGAGGGGTGCTGTGGTGAGATGGAAAGGCAACAACACAGTTGTTTGGAAGCAAGGAATGCTGCCCCAACCATAAATGTCCTCCTTCTTGCAACTCAAGAGTCTAACATGCCACACCCGGGGATCAGGAGAGAGGACAAAGCTGGGAATCGAACAAAGAAAGGCCCTGGGGGAGTTATTAGGAGCCAGTTGTCCTGGAGAAGGCACCCTAGTGTAAAAGCACTCTTCTACCTGTGGGGGCACTGACTCCTTTCAGAAAATGATGGGGATGACATCTCCGGGACTGATTTAAAAATCATCCCCGCCCAGGCTCCCCAAGCATCTGGGCTGGCCTCTGCATAAGGTGTTTTCTTTTAACCCCTCACCCTCAGCAAACCTTGGGGGACAGCCTCTGTGTCCTTTAGGTTCTGCAGGGCCCTAGAAGGCAACAACAATGGGTGAATTCTTGCTGCAGTCCATCAGCATGAGACTGCTTGCTTGGATGCAGCCACTGGTAGGTGCTGAGCAGGTAAATGTCCCTGAACCCTTCCTTCATCGCTGGCAAAATTATGGATGGTCCTGGATATGGATGCATTTTTGCTAAGCCAGTTTGGAGGAGTTGGGGAAGCACTTCCCACACTATAAGCACTGATGTGGCTTCTCTGACATGTGGATGAGCTGGTGCTGGGCCAGAGAGGAGCAGGTGAAGCTCTTTCCACACTCTGAGCACTGATGAGGCTTCTCCCCCATGTGGATATGCTGGTGCCGAGCCAGACTGCAGGAGCGAGTGAAGCTCTTCCCACACTCCGAACACTGATATGGCTTCTCCCCTGTGTGGATACACTGGTGCCGAGTCAGGCTGGAAGAGCAAGTGAAGCTCTTCCCACACTCCGAACACTCACATGGCTTCTCCCCCGTGTGGATATGCTGGTGGCGAGTCAGGCTGGAGGAGTGAGTGAAGCTCTTCCCACACTCCAAGCACTGATGTGGCTTCTCCCCTGTGTGGAGACGCTGGTGGTGAGCCAGGCCAGAGGAGTGAGTGAAGCTCTTCCCACACTCCAAGCACTGATGTGGCTTCTCCCCTGTGTGGAGATGCTGGTGCTCAGCCAGGCTGGAGGATCGAGTGAAGCTCTTCCCACACTCTGAGCACTGATGTGGATTCTCCCCTGTGTGGAGACGCTGGTGTTGAGCCAGGCTGGAGGAGTGAGTAAAGTTCTTCCCACACTCCAAACATTGATGCGGCTTCTCCCCCGTGTGGAGATGCTGGTGTCGAGCCAGGCTGGAGGAGCAAGTGAAGCTCTTCCCACACTCCGAACAGTGATGTGGCTTATCCCCTGTGTGAATACGCTGGTGCTGAGCCAGGCTAGAGGAAGGGGTGAAGCTCTTCCCACATTCTGAACACTGATATGGCTTCTCCCCTGTGTGGATACGCTGGTGCTGAGTCAGGCTAGAGGAGTGAGTGAAGCTCTTCCCACATTCTGAACACTGATATGGCTTCTCCCCTGTGTGGATACGCTGGTGTTCAGTCAGGTTGGAGGACTGAGCAAAGCTCTTCCCACACTCTGAACACTGATGTGGCTTCTCCCCCGTGTGGAGAAGCTGGTGCTGAGCCAGACTGGAGGACTGAGTGAAGCTTTTTCCACACTCCAAACACTGATGCGGCTTTTGCCCCATGTGGAGACGCTGGTGCTGGGCCATGGTGGAGGAGCGAGTGAAGCTCTTCCCACACTCTGAGCACTGACGTGGCTTCTCCTCAACTCTACCCCTGTACTTGGTAGTGAGCTCCTGCTTCCCTCTGAGGCCCTCCTCACTTCCTTGGCTTAGATGTAGTACCTCTTTCCAGTGGCTCTTAAGGGCTCTGAGCTCCACAAATTCTTCCTTGCACCTACGGATCTTTCTGGGTTCTGTCCCTTCTCCACTCTCATGCCCAATTGGAGATGGTACCTGGTTCACTGCTACATACTCCTTCAGTTTTTGGGGCCTCCCCTGACTCTTGTGCCATTGATCCTCCTCAGGTCTCAGGAAGTCCATTTCACCCAAACTTCCTGTGGAAGTCTGTGGTGGCTCAAGGTCTGCGGGAGTCTGCTCCTCAGCTCTGCTCAGCAGCCAGGCACCTCCTGCATGGTGAAGAGAAAATCCACATTAGTCCCTACTCTGCTGGCAAAGGGCAAACCCTGCTATTCCTTCAGCTGCCATGGGCCTCAGAGCACACCTAAAACTTAGCACTTGTGTTCCCTAAAGAAAACAAGGTCTTCCTGCCCAAACCCCAAGTGCTAGCACTGTAGGAGGGGTAGGTCCCTGCACTGGGCTAATGTTCCCTACTTGGCAGAGTTCGGAGCAGGATTTTCAAGAATTTCTGGCCCAGTTGTCAGCCCCATCACCTCAGGCCCTGCTAGGAGAAGCACATGTGGGACACGTGCGCTTAGACAGTACCTGAATGGCTTCATGCCCTAATGGACTAAATAAGAGGGAAGGACGTAACGCTGTGCCTCTCTCTTCTGAAAGGAGCAGGGCTGTGCTTCCTGCCTGCTTCCAGGGCAAGGTCTGGTGCAGGCAATGAGCCCATGGAGCTTTCCCCTGCTGACAGGTCCCAGGTGGGCTCCATGTCACAGGAGTCTGCACCAGGTCTAAGGCCTTGGCATGAACCTGAACCTGGACTGTGCTGAGTCTCAGGCTTTGTGACAGTCAGGACCCCAGAGAGGAAGCAGGAAGGGGGTAATTCTGGTGAAAGCCATGGGGTATTCACTTCTTCCCACAACTTAAAAGCTTCTGAATCCACCCGATGCCATGGAGCCATTTAATGCAGCCTGAGACCATGCTGAAACACTTCCTGGGTTCCAGGTCAACCAGACCAAAGGCAGGGAGAGCCCCAGATTCTTCACTGCCCTACGGTAATGGCTCCACAGAGCCTCTGCATACCATGCTGATTTCCATGGGGGAACTACAAATCCCATCATGCCCTGGGACAGCATTTCAGAGAGGTTTTGCTACTTTGGACTGGGGAATGAACTCTTACATTGCTGAGCGAAGACAGAAACTTAAGATCGCAGTGTCCCAGGGATACCCGATCTGGGTTAAAAGAAAAAAAAATCAAGACACTAAATCCGATTGTCCCCTAATGTCTGTCATTAGAGGGAGAAAAAGGGAACAGCAGCTTGTCTGCACCTCTTTGAATGTCAGATAATGGGAACCAGGTCTGCAATTCCCTGGTACCCCTGGCACTCTGGGCATAGAGCACTTCTGAGAGGGGTCAGATGGAAGGGACAGCTAAAACTCACCTGGCAAAAGGTCCTCCAATCTACAGTCCTCATCATCACAGACCCAGAGCTCCACCTGTCCTTGTTGGATGCTGCAGATTAAGTCAGGTGTGGGACCTTGATATCCTGTTTGGGACAGTGGTTAAAGAGGGTCTGTGACTGGGTTCTGGCTGCAGAATAACCAAACAGGATTTGGGGAATGGATCCAAGCTTTGTGTTAGGATCTTGATGGATAAGGGAGGATGGGCATTTAGGATGTAACAGAAGGCACTGCAGGGAGAAGCTTTCAATACATGATGGTCTTGTCACCCAGGTGGTGGAAGGATGGTCACAGGAAACAAAGCACCAACCATTCCTGGTTTAGAAAAGATATTAAACTGACAGAGACACCTGGGAAAGGTGTGGAGATGCAGTGATCTGTGATGTACTAGAAGGCAGACAAATAAAGTTTTACTGTTCTCAAGGTACCAAAATGAAGAGATTTGGACACACTTATGGATAGATAACATCTCTCTTACCAGTGTAATTCCAGGAAAAGAAGTGGTAACGAGCTTATTCTCAGTGAAGGTTTAAAGCCAGGACTTATGGCAGGGAAAAGCATCCAAGTTAGGTGAATGACCATAACACATCAGGGTCCCAAGGGTGGCCGTAACACCCCCTGGTGGCTCCATCACTGTGCCCCACACCATCCCTAGAGCATCGACCCCTAGAGCATCATCCCATCAATAAGGCATCGAGCCCTGAGCCTGCCACTGGCAGGGCTCAAGGCAGCTGAGTGCCCCCCTGACACACATGAGGCTTTCCAGGCTCATCCCAAACCACCGCTAGAAACAGTAACATAAATCATAAGTCCCTGTAGAGTAACATAAACAACAGAGAAGGCAGTCCTCTTCCCTTAAGAGGGCAAACCTTCTTTCTCCCCTTGTGCCAGTGCCCCTCCCAGCACAGGCTCCATGTGAGCTCCCCAAACCTCAGCGTCCCTAGACGCAGCAAACCGTGAGCCCAGCATCCCTGGGTGGCTCGCCTGGGCAGAAACTCCTTTCCCTGTGGCAGCCAGGAACAGACTCCCTTGCCAGCCCCAGCCTTGGCCTCACATGCTCCCAGGGCCCTGCATAGTTTCCTAGTTGGTAGGGTCAAAAGGGACCTTGACAGATCATCAAGTCCGACCCTCTGCCATGGCAGGAAAGAGTACTCAGGTCAAATGACCCCAGCAAGGTGTTCATCTAGCCTCCTCTAAAAAAAAACCCCAGGCTAGGAGCCAGCACCACTTCTCTTGGAAGTTGGTTCCAGATCCTAGCCACCCTGACAGTGAAGTAGCGCCTCCTGGTGTCTAGTCTGAATCTACCCTCTGCCAGCTTGTGACTGTTATTTCTAGTCACTCCTGGTAGCGCTCGGGGGAACAGGGACTCCCCTAGTGCTTGCTGGTCACCTCTGGCTAGTTTGTAAACAGCCACTAGATCCCCCTTCAGCCTTCTCTTGTGGAGGCTGAACAGGTTCAGGTCCCTTAGCCTCTCCTCGTAGGGCCTGCCCTGCTGCCCCCTGATCATGCGAGTGGCCCTCCTCTGGACCCTCTCCATGCTGTCCACATCCCTTCTTGAAGTGTGACGCCCAGAACTGGACGCAATACTCCAACTGCGGCCTGACCAGTGTCGCATAGAGGGGGAGGATCACCTCCTTGGACCTGCTTGAGATGCATCTGTGGATGCATGACAAGGTATGGTTGGCCTTCCTGACCGCGTCCCCACACTGTCGGCCCGTGTTCATTGTGGCATCAATAATGACTCCAAGATCCTTTTCTGCCTCTGCACTGACGAGAAGGGAGTTCCCCAGCCTGTAGGTCTGCTGCTGGTTCTTCCTCCCCAGGTGCAGCACCTTGCACTTGTCAGTGTTGAAACCCATCCTGTTCTCATCCGCCCACCCCTGTAACCTGTCTAGGTCCGATTGCAGCCTATTCCTCCCTTCTAGTGTGCTCACTTCCCTCCACATCTTAGTGCCGTCTGCAAATTTGAACAGGGTGTTTTTTACCCCCTCGTCCAAGTCGCTGATGACAATGTTGAACAGTGCGGGTCCGAGGACCGAGCCCTGGGGGACCCCACTGCCCACATCTCTCCAGGTCGAATAGGACCCGTCCACCACCACTCTCTGGGTGCGACCCTCCAGCCCATTAGTGACCCAATTGACTGTGTAGGTGTCAACGCCACAGTCCCCTAGTTTTTTAATGAGAATGGGGTGAGAGACAGTGTCAAAGGCCTTCCTAAAGTCCAGAAATACTACATCCACTGCTACACCTACGTCTAAGGATTTTGTGACCTGGTCATAGAAGGCCACCAGGTTGGTCTGACAGGACCTGCCCCTAAGGAACCCATGTTGGTTGCCCCCTAAACACAATTTCCCCGGCTGGCCCCTTGCATACATCTGGTCAGGTGACTGCCTGGACTGGCTGGCTGCTAATTGCCTCATTAGCCCTGCAGGGCTCCCGACCTGAACGCTTTTCCTCTTAAAGGAACAGAGCGCCCCAGACTCTCTGTTACACTGACAAAAACTTTTTCTGGGAGACAGGGTAATTCAGTATCACCGGCACGCAGGAAAGGCTGATTTTATAACAACTATAGTTGCAAGTTAAGCAATCATCGCATCCTATGGGAGGATCATCCCAGAAGGGGAAAGGAGTTCACACATTGCCAAATACTGCAGGGTTTAACACAAAGTTCCTGGGACTCATGGTTATGGACAAGACACGGCAGAAGCACAGACATTTCACAGCATGTGAAAGGCCATATTGTAGAAATGGTCTATATGGTCTTCGTTAAGCTTGAGAAACCATTTGAGCATGTCCCTAAAGAAATCCTCTGGGGGGAAAAAAAAGCATCAGAAAAACAAACTTACTTAGTAAAAGGTAAGTACCCTCAATCCTGCACACAAGCCAGAACAAGCCGCTGTATTAGTGCTCCCCTGGAAAGGTTTGTCCCCGGCCCTGGCGAGAGACACGGGGGCGAAAGTCCGTTGCACCCCCATTGAGCCTAGGCACCCTCAGGACTCCCCAGCAGGACCCCCAGCACAGCTGAAGGCAGGTGGGGCCCATGGCAGGGAGGGAGGGACCCCAACCCAGTCAGCTGCAAGGTCCCCTCAGAGTCTGAGACCTCCTCCTCTGGCACCTCAGAGGCCTCCATCCAGACGGAACCCCTGGTTCCAGGCTCCACGTGGACGGAGCCTCTGGCTCTTGGCTGCGGGGGCTGCCTGGCATGTTTCCAGGCACATCGGACTGGGATCATGGTCACCTGCCCTTGTGCGGTTTGCTCCACTTTGGAGTCTCTGGGGTACCAGATAAAGGAGCTCCAGGCCGCAGTCCAGAGACTGAATGCCATCAGAGACGGTGAGCAGGAGACAGACTCGTCCTGTCAGACTCATCCAGCTCACCAACCACTACGCCATGCTCCTTATCCATGTGGGCACGAATGACATGGCTTGGAGCAATCCCAGCCGGGTCATGAGACGCTACAGGGCTTTGGGAGTGGGGCTTAAGGGGTTGGGGGCACAGGTAGCGTTTTCCTCGATCCTCCCGGTTTCGGTATATGGGCTGATGCGGGAGAGGAGGATCGAGGTAGTTTACCAAAGGCTTTGGCTTCCACAATCACAGTTCGCTCTTTGGCGAGAGAGGTGGTGGTCTGCTGGGAAGAGACAGCCTCCGCTTCACCGCTCTGGGGAGGAGACTCTTCTCAGCCAGAATGGCTGACCTGCTCAACCGGGCTTTAAACTAAGCCTGCCAGAGGCAATTATTTTGGGCAGAGGGCTGCTTACCAAGTTTTGGCAAGCTGTAGAGGGCTGCATGGTCACCATCTTGGGACCCTAACCTCTGGCCTTTGCCACCAGAAGTCCCTCCCCTTACCCCTGGAAGTACTCCTTTGAGGAAGAGGGTTTGCCATCTTAGGGAAAAGAAATCCAACAAATTGTAAACAAAAAGGATTACGATGTCATAGGGATAACGGAGACCTGGTGGGACTCCACCTATGACTGGGCCACAGGTATAGATGGCTATACCTTGTACAGGAGAGATCATGTGGACAAAAGGGGCGGGGGTGTAGCTCTCTATGTCAAGGCAACATTGGCACCCAGGGGGGACGACTGGAGACTCTCTGGGTTAAAATCTGTGGTGAACGTGGCACAGGGGACACAATGGTGGGAGTCTACTACAGACCTCCTAGCCAGAATCAAAAGCTCGACCAGGAATTCACCAGGGAACTGGCCGAGGCTGCACGCTCCCGGTGCATGGTTGTCATGGGAGACTCCAGCTACCCAGACATCTCGTGGGAAGACCACTCAGCCAAATCCGAAGAGTTGCAAGGCTTCCTCATGTGTGTGGATAAGCTCGTGACTGAAGAAGTCAATGGACCGACAAGAAGCAAAGCGCTGCTTGACCTGGTACTGGCAACGGGGGATGACTTAATCAGTGACCTAACAATCAAACGGAAGCTGGGAGACAGAGACTGTGAGCTGATCACTTTCACCGTCTGTTCACCAGAGCGCCCCAAGGGATGACAAGGTCGAACGGTCACAAACTCCTCCATGACCGTTTCAGGCTGGACATAAGGAAGAACTTTTTTACTGTCCGAGCCCCCAAGGTCTGGAATAGCCTGCCATCGGAGGCGATTCAAGCACCTACTTTGAATGCCTTCAAGAGACATTTGGATGCTTATCTTGCTGGGATCCTATGCTCCCTGCTGACTTCCTGCCCCTGGGGCAGGGGACTGGACTCGATGATCTTCTGAGGTCCTTTCCAGCCCTAATGTCTATGAAATAATGTCTATGAAACCATCTGCCGTAAAGCTGGCAAGCCAGTTAGGTGGCAAGGCCCTAAGGGACCTCAACCCAAAGGGGAGGGCAGTTCAGGAAGAGTGGTTGCTCCTCAAGGGAGCGATCCTAGAACCTCAAGCAATGTCTATCCCGTCTCAGAGGAAAGGCAGCAAAAGGGTACAGCAGCCACCTTGGCTCTGCAGGGAACTAGTGGACCTCCTGCATCTAAAAAGAAAGACCTACAAAGGATGGAAGACTGGATGCACCTCAAAGGAGGAGTACTTTGCACTGGTCCAAACTTACAGGGAGCAAACCAGGAAAGCCAAGGTTGCAACTGAACTCCAACTGGCTACTAGTATCAAGGACACTAAAAAGTCCTTTTTTAGATATGTGGGGAGCCGGAGGAAAAGCAAGGGTAACACTGGACCCCTGCTATAAACCAGACTGGACAACTGACAACCGACGCCCAGGAAAAAGCCAACCTGCTTAATGGGCATTTTGCAACGGTTTTTCACCAGCCCTAAGGAATGGCCCTGCTCAATACGGTACGGGACAGCCAGGGTGAGGGAGAATAGTTACCCTTCATCAATGTAGACCATGTGAAGGAACACCTTGAGAGGCTGGACACCTTCAAGTCAGCTTACCCAGACAGTTTACACCCAAGGGTACTTAAGGAGCTGGCAGGCATCATAGCTCAGTCACTGGCACGGATCTTCGAAAACTCATGGCACTCAGGCAAAGTGCCTGAAGACTGGAAGAAGGCCAATGTGGTGCCCATCTTCAAGAAAGGGAGGAAAGTAGATCCGGGGAACTACAGGCCCATCAGCCTGACCTCTATCCCAGGGAAGATCTTGGGAAAAAATTATCAAAGCAACCATTCTTGACAAACTGGCTGATGGCAACATCCTGAGGGACAGCCAGCATGGGTTTCTTACAGGTAGGTCTTGCCTGACCAATCTCATCTCCTTCCATGACCAGGTGACATATCACCTGGACAAGGGAGAAGAGATCGATGTCATAGATGCTAGGGTCAGAAGGGACCTCAATAGATCATTGAGTCCGACCCCCTGCATAGGCAGGA